TGGAGTACGTCGCATGAAGGCTCTAGCAAGAGGCTGCGTCTGGTGGCCGCTCAAGGACAAGGTCATCGAGCGTGTCGGGAGCCTGTGTCGGGCATGCCAGAAGAGCAGGCCAGCACCTGATCGCGCTGCCATCCGCATGTAGCCCTGGCCGGATCGTGCCTGGTCACGGATACACATCGACTTTGCCGAGCCCACGAAAGGAAAGTACGGGATGGTCGTGGTAGACGCTTATTCTAAGTGGATTGAGGCAGAGTGCTGCACCACTGTCAGCTCCAAGTCGACGATTACTAGGCTGGGAAATGTGTTCCCGATGGGGATTACCAGACACGGTTGTGACTGACAACGCCACATCATTCACCTCATCCGAGTTTCAATGTTTTATGCAGGGAAATGGCAGACATCACAGGACGAAAGAACCTCGCCACAGCCAAGGCAACAGACTGGCTGAGCATGCTGTGCGTGATGTCAAGCTTGCCTTGCAGAGGTCTGACGACGACTGGGAAGATGCTTTGTCTGTTTGGCTGCGCTGTCAGAATATCACACCTCACAGCACGACCTCAGTTTATCCCTCAGAGCTCATGGTGGGACGCAGCATCCGGAGCCGGCTGGATCTCTTCACCCGGACATGCGGAAGGGAGTGACTGAGCATCAGGTGAAACAGAAGGAATTCAGGACAGCAAGGTAAGATCTGAAAGAAGATTTGGTGTGTCATATCTCGTGTTTTTTTTTCAGAAACTGCGGTGTTGGGTCGCCATGGGCTGCTGGAGTGGTCGTTGGTGTCGACGGGCCAGTATCGTACGCGATCGAGCTAGAGGACGGCAGGATATGGCGACGGCATACTGATCAGTTGAGACGTACGAGTAGACTAAACGGAAACACGGTTACAGAACCTCCTGCGATGACTGCTGTTTTAGCCGAGACCGTGGCCGAACCAGGAGTGCGGCTGCAGAGGAGCCGACGCCGCCGACCCAGCTGCACGCGCCTCTGCTCAGGATGTCGAGCTCCGCCTCCCAGCGACCGCCGACCTGCTTAACCGGACTCGATCCTGCCGCACGGCGGCTGCCGGTGGAAACTTCTGTGACTGGGCACGCAGGTGCCATTAGCGAAGGCGCCTGCGCCATCAGGCGATGATTGTGTCGAAGTGGCGGTGCCCCCCGATAGCGGCGGGCTGACGGCTGCGAAACAGTTAACGTCCGTACCGGCGGAGTCTGGTGCTAGCGAAGCTGGTGATCGCCGGTTGGGCCGATTGTGGAAACAAACTGATTTTGTTTTTACATAGTTGTGTGTTGGGGTGCGGCGCAATGGCTCATTTTCTTCGGGAAGGGCAGTGTAGGGACTTGGTGCCGGCTGGCGGCCTGTCTGTGTGCACTGACATCTGTGCACACCCTTGACGCGTCCCTGCGTGGACGCTGACCGCTGTGCACGTCCGGCGCCTCGGGCACACGGTGGACGATCGCAACCGGCCGGTGAGTCGCGCCGGTCATTCGGTGCCAGGACTTAAAACAGGCTGTGTCGATGGACAAGTTTCTCAGTACCTTACTCACTGCCAGCGGATAGATGAGTTCAGTGGGAGTGCGACACTGCGACGGTCACCGGACCGGTGAGAGGCAGATAGGCGCGAGGTCCAGTGTAGGTGTGACGGTCAGTTGACATGCTCGTGGCGGCAATGCAGCATGCAGTCATTCTAGCACCCACAGAGTGGCATACGGCCAGCAGTGACCTGACTCCAGCCCAGATGGCCCGCTGCAGACCCGGTGCAAGACGACCCCCGATCAGCTACGGACCTGCGGTCCGGGCGCCGGGCCAAAGGCCGCTACGCCACGGTCACGGTCAGCTGACGTCATGGCGGATGAGTCACCCGGGCCGCCTCACGGCGCAGTGACGGTTACGTGACACGCCCGCGCCTGCGCCGCTGGCGGCCACGTGGCTACCAGCAGTTGCTGTCGCTGCCGCCGCGGCGCCACCAGCGCTGGAGGTGTCCACACCTACCGCTGACGTCACGATCACGCGATCGCTGGGCAGAGGTCACACGATTGCTGATCGCTCCCGCCAAGATGGCGTCAGGGTGGCTTGGCCTTGGGTGCACAGAGACATTAGGTCATGCACGTGGACAGGTCTATGAACACAACAAGATGCGAGGCTAGCAGTCTGGTGGCAGCATAAATCGTAACTCCCCGAAATGGGGCACGAGCATAACTGCGTATACGGTCGGTGATACTGTCGGCCGTTGGAGAGCTCTGGCCTGAACAATAATGGCCGACGTGCAGCCCTGTCCTAGGGCCAGTCGGTCGTGGCGGCCAGTAGGGCGGCAGCGGAAATGCAGGATACGACCCACCTTATTTGCGCTTAGTGGCAATCTGCAATCGTCGGCAGGCAGCACAAAGATGTTCCCTCTGTGATGATTTGTCAGCAAAGGGAAGGGTGCAGTTCGTGGGGCGCCGCCGCCTGTAGTCACTTCCACGTCAGTGCAATGTCTGGCCGACCGCTAGGTGTCACTGGGTGTTTCATATGAGTCATGGGTTCACACGATGCCGCCGCCGAGTACGTACGGGCGTTTGCGGCGTCGATGTGTGTATGGCTGTGGGCCTCGCCGTTCTAATGAATCTTACAGTCTCATCCGATCCAGTAAGGTGCCATAATGGACGAAAACTAGGTCAAATCAGAGTGCATGTTGCCATTTGGGTAGTATTCGTCTTTTTTACCTTGGTGCCCTAAAAGATAAGAAATCAACGCGTTTATTTGCTGTCCCCCGCACTATAGAACATCCTCCCAATGATAACTCATTTTGGACACATGACTGGCAGCACCTCCCCTTCCGGAGAGACCGTTTAGCCGCATCAGTAAGCTGGAAACCGGTAAGGAGACGTGTCCACAGGTTGCAGTTGTATCGCCCCTCACTGGACCATACAAACTGGCAATATATGACATATCTGTTCCTGGGTAAGTCAAACAGCTCTCGTCGCCCATTATCATATCAATGCGTTCTCACCAGTTGACAGCTTGCCCCTGATTAGCCGACGCAAACGCTGTTATTCTCTGCGTTGCTGCGCTTGAGTGACCTCAGGCGCCTGTATGCACCTCCGGTACTCAATTGCACATTTTCTACAGCAAAAATTACGACATAATAGTGGCAAATATAGTGGCGTCACACCAGCAGGCACATTGACACCCCTCACCTTGCCCTTCGCACCCCATCGAAGGGGACCTTGTTTCTGTAGCGAAACTCGCAGAGTTGCAGCCACTTCAAACCTTTTCCAGCATGCTGAGCGTTTCCTCTTATCTCAAATATCATAACCCTCGCGGGCCCGGGGGGGGGGCGTTTTTCGCCCCCCCTGGCGAATATTTGCGATAACTCCCGAACGCTTAGGGATAGGAAGGCGAAACTTTCAGTACCTTTTCTCCCATCAATTTGACATCTTCTGAAGTAAAAAAATTGGACCTAGCCCCCTTGATGACGTCACAAGGTCCATTTTTCTAGACCCCTGCACGGCAAACTTCGGCGTCACAGACGCAAACTTCAAATAGCTGCTAAAAATAGAGTTTTAGAGATAAAGACAAATTACGAGCACGGCTGTGTAGCGTTTGACCTAGAGAAAAATACAAAAATAGTTTTGGTGACCTGAGGTCAGATGTCAGGTCAACGACCCCGAAATGTGGTTTTAGTTTTTCGCAAATAACTTCGACAAAAATGGTCCTAGAGCTGCGGCAATGGTACCATCGCATTCGCCTTGTCAAGCCGCGTCGAATGATATATATTTTGTTCGGAAAAGGTCAAGTTTCATGTTGACCTCATGTGACCTCGAATGACCTCTGGTTGACCTTGACACATGAAAGGTCGTTTATGATGGATTTGTACCCGCTGATCACGAATCTGGCATCTATTTTCCTCTAAGCCTTCATTTAGAGCTTCCGGATGGCAAAATTGTCTTATTTATTATTACTAACTTGAATCACTGAAATAGCCTCTACCAGGGATACTCTTCTGTGACCTTGACCTTTGAGCAGCCTTGCATCGCAAGATGAACCACAAATAGGGAACTGATAAGCCTCAAAACATTTCAAAACATCTTGGAAGTTAGCACGCAAGATGTGCGAAAAAGTGCCAAGTTTGAGGTCAATTTTGAGCGTGACCTTGACCTTGACCTTTGATTTGGAGCACATTTTCAGAATCCTCAGATTCTCTTCTTTCGTTTGACACCCAATTTTGCCGGTTTGATGCAGCCTGCCGTCCTCTAGAAGGCTTACTTTGAGATCACTACACATGTGCCGGTTTTGGCCTTTGACCTTGACCTCTGACCTTGAAAATTGACCTGAGGTCAAAAATTTTAGGTGCATTAGAATCGTCTCGTAAGGACCTTTCGTTTGGTATCGCTTTTGTTTCCGTAGCTCCCTTATTTACGGAGTTAGACAGGGGGGGCGAAAAACGCCCCCCCCCGGGCTGCGGTGGTTGGGATTACCCCCCGGGCCCGGCCAGGATAAGCATGCTATTGGCACTTGGCTAAAAACCTTTAACTTGCACTTGGAGAGCCATAAGTGCCATTTCCGTTGTAGAAAGGTAATTTTTCTTAAAATTGGCGAAGATTGCTTAGAACCGTTGTTTGCTTAACGTTCTCATGGCGACTGACCATGGTATTTAAAGTTTTCGTTTTGCCTGATTGACATTCGCAACAGACATGTCTTTCAGCATGTGAGATATGCAGATTATGTATTACCTTTAAAGGTTCGTATTTACTACCTGAACTTTTTCTCATTAATTAGTAGACACCCGTTACACCACCCCTCCGGTCTCTGCCTATTAGTGAGACAATTATTTCCCGGTCAAAGATAAATACATCCCAGTCTCGGCCCTAAACACAGCTATGCTCATATTATTTCTAATGCATAGCTTACTGTTCATCGAGTGCTCAAGCATTCTATCCACCAACGAAAGAAATTTGTTTATGACATTTATTCTCACTAAGTCGCTCCGAGTGCCTTCCTCTTCCCCTTTCGCTCGGCAGAGACGGCGGCGCCGGTACCGGACCCTTCGGCTGCCGTCCGCACGCTGCTCGCTGAACAGGAGGGGATCCTTCTCCAGCCGCCCAGCTGGTACTCGCGATTCTGCAACAGATGGGTCTCTCTGATCGGAGTGAGTGCAAATGACCGCACGGGACATACATGCTTACTAAAAGAAAGTGGGCATCAAGGTAATGAGGACGTAACTCCACACGAAATACTTCGAGTCGAAGAGTTCGAGTCGTATTTACAAAACATCTACAGCGTGTCGTAATCAAGTCGAAATTTGAGTCAAAACACGGGATGATTTTGTCTGCTGTCGGTGCTGTGGGTGCTGCTCTCAGATGCTGCTGAAGCTGGTGATGCTGCTGCTAGTGCTGAACCTGGTGATGATTCATTCCGCTGACGGCGCTGTGGGTGCTGCTCACAGATGCTGCTGAAGCTGGTGATGATGCTGCTGGTGAACTGGCTGTACTGCCTGCTGACGGTGCTGGCCGTGCTGCTGATCTGGCTGTACGCGCGTCATGCCAGTCCCGGTTGCCCGGCCGCGCTGGCTGACTCGTTCTCCTTCGGCGAGTGGATCAAAAACCTGCTAGCCATCGCGCTGGGACGGTGAGTGACGCTCGAACAGACATCAGGGTCAGGGGAGTCGACCAATCTGTGACGGGTCGTGATGCTAGCGACTTACTGACATGAGAATGGGATACGGTTGATTGTATTTTAGGAATAGTTAATACTAGCAGTCTTTTTCTACCGGTCTCATCTTATGGTGCTGGAAGTCTTACATTTATTTTTGCACACGCTAACAAGTGAGGTTAACATTTTAAAAAGTGACTAGTGATCATGACGTCGACCAAATCCCAAATCCCAGATGTTTTTATCAGCAGTTAACTAGTCGTCATTTATTTATTTCGGTAATCTCGCTAACGCGTCGTGCCGTCTGCGGCAGGCGGCGCGTAGCCACTCAGTACGACAGGATGGTGGTTACTCCGATGGCACCGGGGGTGAACGTTCAGCAGACTCAGGTGACAGAGGAGAACGAGGACTTCGAGCACCGCTCCCGCTACCACCAGTCCACCGTCCAGCCCTCCAAACCGCTGCTGGCCGATGACTGAGGGAAAGGTATCCTCCGTTCAGCCCTCCAAACCGCTGCTGGCCGATGACTGAGGGAAAGGTATCATCTGAGAGGCCCTCCAAACCGCTGTTGGCAGATGACTGAGGGAAATTCAGCCCTCCAAACCGCTGTAGGCAGATGACTGAGGGAAAGGTATTCTCTGAGCTGCTCTTCATCCGCTGTTACGCTGGTTAACGACTGAAGAAAGAGGCCGCATGGTGCGCTAGGGTGCTGCCAACGCATGGCGTATGTCTATGTGTTAAAATAATTTCGTCCGAGCTGATAGGCAATGGCTGCAACGCCATGATTACGTCAATGAGCAATGACGAGAAATCACATCCAACGCTTGCTACGCCCTTCCGTCGAGCAGCCATGTCGATGTCGCTGAGCCAATCGGCGGTGAAGTCATCTGAAACTCTGTGTCGTAAAAAGTCGACAGACGCTGCTGTTCTGGCTCACTAGTCACTGTCCAAAGAACACTCTGCTTCTCGTAACTGTGTGAGGGAGGGAATATCGTGCGAGATTGTCTGCAAGTGGTCAGTTTCTCTGATTCAAAAGCCGTGACTGAATACGACAAGCCCGGATCGCAGTACTTCGCTTCGACAGTTGCTTGCATATGTCTGACAGCTACATATAGGCGGTGCATGCGCTGAAACTGACTGGTCCTGTGTGGTTTGTATCATCTGATTGTATTGATTTGTGTGCTGCTCTGGCGCCTAAGCTGTGAAAATCAGCGTTCAATGCTGTCTCGTTTGTCGACTTGCGTGAGAAAGCCGACAACAAGTTTGTGTCTGTGTTATAGAAGGCGGCATTTACCGGAGTGAATAATATGAGCCATGTGTTAGTTTATTGCAGACATAATCTTCTCAACGTAAGGGTGTATGAAGGACTTGCTTCAAGGAACGTAACTGCAATGCCAATATTAATGAGTGATTTGTAAGGTATTCGGAAGCACGGTAATGAAATCGCAAGAATTATTTTTGCATCATGCAAAACGAAATGCTCAGGAGAACAGTTATCTTTACACAAGAGATCCCTATTCCCCATATTCACACTTAATGCGGTAAATGTATTGCATGCAAAGTATACATGCAGCGAGTGATGTTTAGTGTGCACTGTAAATCATGTTAGATGTTTGATGTACGTATATGTGCACATGCTATGTGTGCCATTGTATTGAGTGTTACTTGCACAAATCATGCAGAATGCACCTTCAGCCGGTTGTTAGCCGAAAGCTATAGTCTGTGTTGTGATACAAAAAAAATACCTTGAAAAACATTCGGGCATATGCATAAAAGCTGGGACCATCGTTACCATTTGGCCATCGACCATATGCTGGCGATAAAGATAAAAGTGTTATTAAATAATAACTCGCTATAACCACAACTCCACCGGTTAGGGGGCTCTACCGAATCGACCTCTACCGAATCGACTATTCCCGACTCCACAGTAGCGGACTGGGCTACGTTCTCAAATAATCTCAGCGTAACGAATTATTTCATTGCGTAACAATCTGCCTCAGCTGACGGTGACTATCTGTTTTATATGTCCTCAACTCATGCCTTTTCGTGTGACTGTTCTAAGCTGATGCCATGCTACCTCAGGGTCTTATTTGTTCTTTCAACCACCTAGCACTTTTCCAAATAAATGTCCATTCCTGGCCTATGTGCTATCCTCAATTCCAGGGTTAACCGACTGATCTCATAATGGTGCTAACAAGCGAACACCTGCTTGATGTTCAATTCGTTTAAGTGTTTTGTTTTAGCTGAAGTGTTTATACGAGGCGCAATGTGCGGTTGAGCTTATGTGTATCGTCCGAGCACGTCACGAAGTTATGCTGACAGCCCTCTATATGTTGTATGTATGTATATCTATAGCGTAGACTATGCTATGTCTATACCAAATAAATGTGACCCTATTTTCACGTGTTGTTTTAGCTCGCGCCAGGACGACGTGATCAGGTCGTAACACACTGAGGTGTGTGGGTGGTGTGGGGGGAGGAGTTTTAAGTCGCCATGTAACATGCTTCCTGGACCACATAGATGCACAAACGGTGTGCAGGGCTCGAAAAGGCGCCGAAAGTCACGGAGGTTTGACACAATGTTCCCAATTCTTCATGTTCTTAGACACATCGGATAATAAACTCAGGAACGTATAGAGCTTACTCATCGTGAGGAAACATTTAATAGTGAATAGTTCTTTGAAACCTCTTTAGCAAGATTGGTGTTAGATTTGACGTAAGGTCAGGGGCTTGGCATACAGACGGCCCTGCCTTCATGACCGGAATCATGATCAAATGATCTCTGACCAGAGACATAATCTTGCATGGCAGTCGCTCCGCCCTTCGCCCAGCTGCAATTATATAAATGTTCATTGTTCACCGAAACTACTCAAGGCGTTGACTGGAAGATCTTCTAATGTAATGTGCACGGACTACTTTCGCAAATAAACTCAAACCATGCGGCAAAAGGGGCAAAAGCAAAGGGCAAAAGCCAGACAAAAGAAAGGTAAAAGTGGGAAAAAGTGAACCTGCGCACCAGGACCATGTACATATCCAATCAAGACTACTAGAACATAACGCTAGCAGAACTATTTAGAAAAGATAATGCAGTACTTACGGATAAACATTTCGGAGACCTGTCGGTCGTATCTCGGAGTACTATTGTTCTTTTTGAATTTCAGCATCATGGTGATAGCGCATGCCAATGGAGCCATGGGCCTGTTCGTGAAACAGGAAGCCTCCTCCTTCGGTAACTTCCTTGCGTTTTACAACACAAATTCACTTTTTAAGCTTCTCCTTTGTTTGTCCTTGCTATTCCTTGTGTTCCACCTCATAGGTGCCAAAATATGTTATGACAGCGCTTTCTACGAGACCAGGTAAGTGTCATGGTAGCGCAGTCGATTATCGATATCTTAAATGCAAAATGGTGGAGATAGAATAGATTCATTCATTTTGCAATTGATTTTTTTTTTGGGCTTTATGAAGACTTAAATACAAGGATTTTTTGGCACATTCTTTGAATTCAAACAAAAAATGGTGGAAACGTAATACAATTTATATATTTCACAATCACAATTTCATAGCATTTCGGAAGGAATTATGTTTTTTTTTCAATGTGTCGTCCTGCTGGAGAAAACGGCTCCGTGTTGTTCTTACTAATTTCCGTGTCTATGTAGAAGGGAGCCCTTTGATTCTGTGCTCTTGCTTTCTCTCATGTTTGGAAGGGAGCCTTTTAATTCCGTATCCTGGCTTTTATCGTGCCTGGAAAGGAACGTTTAAATTCCGTGCCGCTCTGGCTAATGCCTGTTTCTGGAAGGGGGAGCAGTTCATTGTTGTGTTATTCTATCTTTTTGGCGTCTATGGCAGGGAGCGGTTCCACTCTGTGCTGTTCTACTGGCTTCTGGCCGGATGTGCGCTGGTGCCGCTGACTGTAGCCGCCATAATCGTGCTGACGGCACACCAGAGCATGGTCGTACACGGCATCGCACTGGGATTTAGACAGGCGATGAAAAAATATAAGGTGAGTGATCCGCATCTCAAACAAATAGGTAGCGATTACTAACTTTATAAAATGAAATACCCTTTAGGGTATATAATTCGATTTCAATCATTTTTTCTTTCGTAAGACGATAAGCTTACCTACGTTCCATAAAAATATCTAACATTGTAGATATCCATTTCATTTTCTAAAATGCTTTTATAAAAATTTTGTTCAATGAATTTGGTTCTGTATGAACGCCCGTCTGTGTTCCGTCTGTTCTCTGTAAGTCGGCCGTTTCTCTGGTCACTTATCGCTAACTCATTTTTTGGCAATGAATAAATTTTGATAACACAATTGGAGCAGCCTCTGTTGACAGAAATAACTCGAATTTCCCTTTCCCCATGTATCAGATTGACACCCCGATGAGGGAGTACATCAACCGTCTACAGATAGAGAATCAGTGCTGCGGGGCTACGTCCATCTCTGATTGGTTCAAGGTTAGCTGGGTGGACACCAGCAACGCAGCGCCCATCAACCGGCTGGCCAACAGGTGAGTCGCAGAGCCTTCTTCTCCGCTGGTGCTTACTGCTTAGCACACTGCAATTCCTACTGGCGATATCCACTCAATACGTAACAGTACCTAAATAGTAACGTTCCTGCAAAACTTGAGCAAATAAGTTTTAATGAGGTTCGTATGACGATAAAGACGAATCATGCATATCACAAGAGCGTTGAAATGTAACGAGGGCCGTTTCAGATCAGTGTTTACTGTCACTGGTCATTGTCCTTTCAGCCACTACATGGAAGCCAATGGGGAGTTTCTGCCGCGCTGGGCACCGTTCAGCTGCTGTCGACAGGATTTCATCGGTACGATTCAACATTTGTTTTTTGTTTATACTAAACGTTATGAGGAAAATCATGATATACAGTTTCATTACTTGACCTTATATCCTCAAAGTAAGTTTGATGGCAACCGTTAAGCGAAAGCAAGGTTTCATGTCTACTCATCGTTTACCACCACTCGTCTAAATCGCACTATACTCATGGCTTTGAGTCAAATAAATGGCAAAAAGGTATCAATGCAAGCAGAAAATGAGAAGATTTGCCTTACAGTTTTGCATTATGCAATATACATGATTGATTTAATGTACGTATGAATCCGTTTATTTATAGGGGCACCGTGCGAATCTGTGTCGCTCTTCTTCCGTCCCAAGAAAAACGAAGACTGGGTGAAAAAGTCGAAAATATATTCAATCGACTACTTGTCTGAGTACGAAAAGTATGCAGCCATTTTCAAAAGGGTAGCTTCTGCTTTGAAGAAGTAAGTGAATGAGTCGATGAAGGGAAGGAAGTGACGATTATCTTGGCATTGTCAGTGGACAAGGGTATACACTGTAAACTCATTTTGACAAGGGGTTGTCGTACAACGACGAGGGTTTGTCAAAAATACTAATAAAGGTTATGTCGAACGACGAATATCTTGTCATAGTTGGTTGAATCAACAGGGCAAATATAAGTATCAGTCCCAGCACCTAGTCGACGATTCATAAAATTGACGAGAATTATGGAGGCTATTGTGAAAACTACCAGGGTCTTATTCGTAATAGGGAACATAGATTTGCTTATGATTTGTAATTCATATCCTCGTCGAAAGAATCAGCTACACCATTGCAACAATACTGATACATACTTGTGTAATCTATGTCCTTGTCGAAGGTATCAGCTACACCTTTGCAACACGGACTTAGTTACGCTAGTTAGACGTGTTAGTAGTAACATACACAAAGCTGTTACTTGTTATATAGGTGGCGCCAAAAACGTTTCCGGCCGTTTCATTTTGAAAGTTTCAGTTGCGCACCAACCGCCGTGCAGTGATGTGGCCTCCTGCGCACTTCCGGGTAGGTGATAACAGTGTTCGGTCGTTTTTGTCATGTTTTGATGAAATGTATGTCTTCCAACTGATAATGCAGATTGAATCAGAGAAATTTGCTGAATTTAAGTGCGTGATGTATGGAAGTAAGCACAATGTGTTCTGCTCAAGGTCATATTGTTCTGCATATGCTATAATATAGCGATGCTTTCTTTCAGGCTTTCATCAGGAGCGAAAGCTCCAGCTTGCAAGCAAGGGTCGCTACACTGAAGACAGCAAACTGCAGAAACTCAAGAAGTCTAAAAATGAAAAAAGCACCTAAATTCCAACGGGCTAATGAATTTGAATGCTCCTTAGATTCGAATGGGTTTGCCCCTTAAAATTCGTGTTCCGCAGACTTAGAAATAACATGTTTCCGAATCAAAGCATTCCTCGATGTTGTGAGTCCCCAAACCAGTTATTGCGAGGAAGGGAACCCAAGTTGACTATCTTAACTCAAACGTTATGCATGTAAACGTGTGATTCTACAGTGTACTCGTAAGTGATGACTCTCATTGCCTTTTCGCATGCGTTATTGCCCTTGCCCCTTGGGTCATCAGTGTCATCACCATTGTGTGTGTAATGTGTATGTACCATTTTAAATACATGACCTACTTTCAGTAATGCTGTTTTGCTGTAATAATGAGACTGCAGAGCGGCGACCTGCGTTTGTGGAGAAAACTGACGAATACAAGGGAGGTCTTTGTAAAACGTTACAAGCCTGAGACTAGTAGATTGCTTACAAGTACAGGTTTGCTGCACGTAGAGATTCCTATGCTAACTAAGATTTGCATTGATTTGACTTAACAAGTACACGGCTCAGCCCTGTTAAATGCAAACATGCGCAGGTCTTTACCTAGTAGCCGCATGATTATAACTAGGAACACAGTCGTTTTTACAACAATGACAAAGCAAACTTTGGTAGCCAGTCTAACGAACTACATGTGAGAGGGTTGTAAGAACAACTACCATGACAAACAATAGGGTCGTTCGATGACATGGCAAAGGGTGCGGGGATTTGCGCTAAATAATTTTCCTTGTAAAAGTAACAAACGTTTGTTGAAATGAGTTTACAGTGTAGTGTCGGAAAATAGTCACACCATTCACTGTAATTGTTGGCAGAGCTACATAGTCAGGCAACTGCTGTAATTTCTTTCATTACCATGACCACATGTAGCAGTCACTGCCTTTATAGGTTATTCAAGCTGGTAACACTCGACCATTCTCTCCCCATCTAATCCCTCTCTATCGCCCATCGTAACATCCCCCTACGCTGTGTCTCGTCCCACAACAGGCCTCCCCAGGATATCGTGAGGCGCGGCCAGGCCATCGTGCAGAGCCGACACGCCAACTTCGACACCTTCCTGCGCGAGGTGACCGGTCATAGTGACGTCACGCCGCCGCCGCCGGCCACATCCAATCAGCGCTCGCCGCCGGCTAACGGGCGGATGGACGCGGCGCGGGCTATCTTCGAGGCGCAGGGGGTGCGGGCGCACAGCTTCCCACCGGAGCTGTTCAGACACCTCGGGAAGCCGCCCTGGCGGGGCCGCATGGTTTGGTCGTATGACAACATCACCACGGCAGAGAGTGACAACCTCGACCAGCGTGAGCTACTGGGGTCGAAACCTACCTGATGCCATATCAGTAGGCTTATGGTGCACTGAGCACTCAGAGCAGGCATAGTTACACTTTGCATGAATTTCCTGGCCGGTGGCAATTCGATTTTTTGTCAAACACCCGATACTTTTACTGAACATTTTCTATTTACACACATTCCTCAAGAAAATTGATACTTACTCCCGCAAATAGCAACTATTCTCTGCATGAACTCGAGTAAAAATTTAACAGTTCATGCCTTCAACTATTTCGCATTAAATGTTCCAAAAGCAGATAAGTGAGCTTGCCCATTCACCACACCAAATCCCTGCTGCGCTCGCAGTGCTGCGGACGGACGGGCGGGAGGAGGACAGCACTATGGGGCTGCTCCGGTGGCGCTCCTTCAACCAGGGCGGCTGCGCCGAGCCCATCGGACGCATGGCTCAGCTGGCCATGAGAGCCGCCGCCTTCCTATTCATCTACGTGCTAGTTGCCCAGGTAGGTGAATGTGAGGCCTACGACAAGCGTGAGGCACGGGAAAGTTGTTTCAGTCGTATTTACCCGACTGAGTGGGGGATGAATCAGCAGATCACTTGTGACGTGACTTTTTAGACGGGATGCATTTCAGTTACACAAGGATTGTATTAGGTATTTACGTTTGTTTTTGTTTTTTTCGCTGGCACGATACTTGATATATGTATGTGCATAATCTAAGTCATAATTCATACCCATCATTTGGACGCATCATTTCCTTTCTGCAGATCCTGATCCTGGTGATGACGAGGTATCTACAGACGTCTATAGACACTGCCTATCGCTGGGGTAACCCGCTGCTCTCCGCTCCGGGGTTCCTCTTCAACACCTCACTGCCTCCCAGACCCGACGTAAGGGCTCTCAAATATTATTTCAATTAAAAGTTGGCAGAACGCTTTGCTCATGATGTTAGCCAATAAGTTGCTCTCTATATAAGTTCATTCCGACCGTTAAAAAACATCGTTTTATGTTTAATTTATATAACTTGAACCATCTTGAACACTACAATAAAGGTGCATAGCCGAAATTATGACTCATTTTTCAATAGATATTTTGAGCACTAGATTATTCTAACTTCAACGTATTCATACATTCTGCTCAAACACGCCATACCATACCTACATCTAATCAAGTTTAATAATTCCAATGAACATTTTCGGGTGTCTGGTGTAGTCATCCTCCATGCCTTCTAAATTATTTTCATTTTTAGGGAAGTAATCATCGAACAATAAAAGTTGTACCCTATACAGCATCCGAAGCTTGCCTCGCTGTCTCGGCTTCGTTACCCCAAAACGTTTACACAAATACAATATTCGAACAACCCTAACTCGCAATTCACAAACGGCCTAAACGGTGAACAAGCACGCCAAACCCTGGCAGCTTTATATTCCAGCCTTTTATGTGCGAAGTCAATTAAAAAATAATTTGGGATGCGAACAGCTAAAACATAAAACACCGCGGCAATCTGAAGCATTTTGCTTTAGTAATTGCCTTTGTAATTTCTCTCAGGACTATGAAGCATTGCTACAAGAAGGGGACGAAATGCTGGATTCTCTCGCCGAAGATCTTGACGAGGACGATTTTAAGGTTCTGCTGTCGCCGTCCTGGACCCCTGGCGAGTCGGAAGACGACACCGTCAGCGGCTCGTCCGTGTCCTCCACGGCTCTCTCCAGCTCGTCTATAATCAGCGGGGAACCGACCACCGACAGCGGCTCAGGATCAGCCAGCGACGCCGACTCGGAGCTTGCCAGCGACGCGTCCGCTCTGGACACTACAGAGGCACCTCCCGAGGTCAAGGGTGCCGAGAGCGCTGGTGACGCCGAGGGCGCTGGTGACGGCGGTGGTGGCGATGAGATTGACAAGGGTTTCCCTGACGGGAGGACAGCCACCGCGGCCAGTCGCTCTCGACTATCTGTGAAGGTGTCGTCGAGTCCAGTCGCTGCCGCAATGTCTGCCAACCGAGCCTCTGCGATGGTACTCCAGTCAGCGGGCAGCAGGCAGATAAGGCAGCCTGCCGACGATGATGACCAAGACAGTGACGATGATGAGGAAAATATAGAGGCCAGTGTGGCATCGAAAGGAACACTTTTGAAGTCTGATGGAAGCAACTCCACTTCCAAGATATCCAGTAATGCGTCAACAGCTAGTCCCAAGAAGTCAAGCCCTCAGAAGTCCAGTCCTGCAAAATCCAGTCATCATAAATCTAGTCCTAAGAAGACCAAAGCAAAGCAATCAAGCTCAAAGAAATCCAGTCCAAGAAAATCCACTCCAAAGAATTCCAGTCCGAAGAAATCGAGCCAGAAGAAATCCAGCCCAAAGAAATCCAGTCCAAAGAAATCCAGTTCCAAGAAGGCCAGTTCCAAGAAGACTGGTCAGAAGAAGTCAAGTAGCAAAAAATCCAGTCCAAAGAAATCCAAGCCGAAAGCAAAAGGGAAATCTACGAAATCAAAAAAGGTTCAAGGACATACAACAAAGCGCAAAAAGTCTCCCAAAGGGGCCAAAAAATAAAGGCTTCCATCCAGAAGCATAGTTAGTATAGTGTCATTTTACTTCTTGAAAAAGTTAATGGCCATCAAAACGCGTGTTCTGTGCTTGTATTCGGTCGGTGTATTATTGCTGTGTGCATCGGAGAAGGGATTGCATTTGTAATTGTTCATTATGTTATCACCTTCGTGCGTCAGGCTGTGTGGTTTGAAATACAACGTTACTTACCTGACTTATTGACTTTGTCACGTCTAGTAAGCTAGCAAAGCCGCTCAGACGAAATGCTATAACTATGGGCAATGCCGATAAATATTTCTATTGGTAGTGACCCATGACATCGTAATCGGTGGTCACTTCTGAGATATAATTTTATCGTATGAATACATGTCCGGAATGCCCAAGGCAGAAAGCAAGCTTTTTTACTATGAAACGAACACTCGCATTTTATAAGCACTTACCTATAGGCACTTCCATATCTTATGGTATCTCGAGACAAAAAGGTGACCTTTTTGACATAGAAGGTATTGGCTATTAGTAACATTGTTAAGTGCTCGAGCGAGGAACATATTGAATATAATTAGATAAGTAAAAGAAATTAACATTTTCCTCGACATCAAAAATGCAAAAAGCCGAATAATGTATTTTTTAAAACGGTGAGCTTTCGGCCACTGGCCCTATCAAATCAACATTACAGCACTTATTCTACAAGCATAGTCAAACAAATAATCACATCTTTGTTGATACACGTTGATATTGCCGTAACTGCTAAGCCTAAAACACAGCAGTGTGATGATAATGGACGGACGGCGATGCTCACTGGGCACACCACTGAATGCGGTTCGTGTGTGGTGTGGTGTTTTAGGACTTCGAGAGCCTCCTGCGGGAAGAGCGGGTGGTCTCGAGCCTGCTGGACCTGGTGGAGAGCGACACGGACCTGCTGGACGTCCAGGACGAGTTCGCGGACATGATGTACGTCGGGAGCGACACCACCGTCACGACGGACGACGGCTCCGACAGCTGGCGCTCCGACGACGACGGCACGCTCTCTCCCGAGGAGGAAGATGCTTCTGAGCAGACCCACTGGGAGGAGGATGAAACCAAGCCGCTGCTGAGACGATCTAAGAGTCAGGTGCCCGTTCTTCAATCAACTGATGGGCTTCAAAGGGCTCTTGAAGGTCACAAAAACCAGCTGGAAGATCAAGAGCCTCCGCGCGAAGGACTTATAGGCGATCAGGGGTCCCAGTCGGCCATTAGTGATAAACCGTTACACGAAAATGGCTTCAGGGATGACGGTAACGGCGAAGACAGTCCTGATGACGAAGATACTTATGACGACGAAGGAGACCCAGATGACGATGGTGACAGCTCTGATTATGATGTCAGAGGTGCATATGATGGTGGAGATGATTACGATGTTCAAAGAGAATACGCTGGCATGGATAAAGATGAAAACTACGATGCCGGCGATGACTACGACGATAGAGATAATTACGGCAATGAAGATGACCGACCAGATGACACCGACGAAGGAGGCTTCTTCACTAGAATTGGTCGCTTCTTCAGAAGAGGCACGAGTAGTCATGACCGCGAAGACGACGACGATGACGATAGTGGCCACGCTGACGACAGTGATGAGACCAGAGACGCAGAAAGGAGGCATTCAGAATCAGAAGCTCCAGACTGGGGGAGCGAGGGTGACGGAGATGCCAACCGTCATGCTGACCGCTCTGCCCCAGACGACGCAAGCAGCTGGAGTGGCACTGATTGGTCGGGAGCTGGACTTGGGGGTGCAATGTCGGGACTAAAGGGTGCGATGTCGGGACTCGGCGGTGCCATGTCGGGAATAAAGCTTTCGGGACTCGGGGGCGCACTATCGCGACGCAGCAGCGGTGGCGATGACGGCGACAGTGGCGGTGGACATGGTGACAGGGAAGACAAGTCTCATGAAGACCACGGCGAACACCACGCAGAGAGGGGTGGTGAGCACGGTGCCTCTAAGACTGGCCTCCACGGCAGGGAGAAGAGAGATGGAAAGAAAACAGGAAGCTCTATGGACACGAAACATGACAAGACGAGGAAAATGAAGGAGCATACCGGTGACGATGCAGAGCAAGATGACAAGCACAAACTCAGGAAGGACAAAAGTCATCTATCGCAACATGAAAGTGACGCTAAAGAGGAGGATTCCAAACACAGAAAGAAAGATCAGCATGATCCGTCGGCCAAGCATGATAAACATGACATTGAAACCGAAGACAAGCATCATAAAGATAAACACCATAAAGACAAAACACATAAGCATGAGGACGACATCCATGATAACAAGAAAGATAGAAGCAAGGACCAGAAAAACAAATATCACGAAAAAGATCACGACTCATCTGAACACGGGAAGCATGACAGAAAGAAGAGTCGCCATGAAGAAGATGTCAAGACTCACCAGGAAAAAAGAAAACACAAAGAAAAAAGTCCGAGGAAGAAACACGAAGAAGAAAAACATCATGACGAATCTAGGCAGTCGAAGCGAGAACATTCACAAGACAAAGGTGAAGAACATGCTACGAACAAAAAGCACCATGAAACGAAACATGGAAAATCAAAAGGAGAACATTCTCCAGATGAAGGCGACAAACATTCCAATAAAGAGCATCACGGCACGAAGCATGACAAATCAAAGAGAGGTCATTCACAGGATAAAGGTGGCCACCATGATGACGAAAAGAAACACCACAAGGCAAAGCATGAATCTCATAAGCACGATCAAAAGAAGGAACACCATGAGTCGAAGCATGAATCTCATAAGCACAATGACAAGGAGGAACACCATGAGACCACGCATGGATCTCACAAACGGACGAAACGAAGTTTAAAAGATAAGTCAGATAAAACTCATGATGCACATTCCAAACAGGGACACGAGTCGAGAAAGGACAGACATGAGAAACAGTCTCATCGAAAGCCTGAACATGACAAAAAGAAAACGTCTCGCGGGCGGGACGATAAACATTCAAACAAAAAGCACCACAAGTCAAAAGACTCATCGGCATCTTCCAAGCGTAGCTCAAAGAAAGGGAAAAGTCACGATCGTTCGAGAGGTAGCAAAGAAAAGCATGATCATAAATCTAAGAAGAGCAAAGACTCGAGAAGTAAATCATCTAAGCGTCATCAGTCTAAAGAGGGTCGAGAAAAATCTCATAAATCTAAGAGAACAGCAGATAACCATCATCATTCAGACAGCTCACATCATAAGAAAGGCTCCAAAAGCAAGTCACCGAGGTCCCACTCTTCCAAAAAGAGTCGCAGCCATTCCCCTCGCTCCAAACACGCCTCTGGGAAGGATCGGTCAAAGAATCGCAGCAAATCTCACAGATCATCTAGCTCCAAGCACTCCTCACGCGACAAACACCACAGTTCCAAGGACAGCCATAAGAAGAGCAGAGACAAATCTCACCACAAGGACCGCCACCGCAGCCGGGACAAACATCACGGAAAGCACAAAGACAGGAGCAGCAGCAGTCGCCGGCACCGCGGTCACAAGTCGAGCCGACGTGACCGCAGCGGGTCAAGCAGGTCGTCGAGATCGAAGCGCGGTCGCCGCCACGGTCACCACGGCCACAGTAGCAGATCCAGGCGCAGCAAGCACCACAGCCGCTCCCGGGGCAGATCGAAGCACAAGAGCCGCGGACGGTCAAAGTGGAGGAAAAAGAAGCGGCGCCATTAGAATTGTACGTTACTGGCCTCTGGTAGCGCCGGCCGTGTGTGCTGATCAGTCTGTTCGTCTCTTCGTGTGTGTCTGTCCGTTCGGTCGATCCGTGTGTGTTTGTTGTAATTCTATATTGTGTCTGTATAAATATGTTATTATGGATTGATCTTTGATTCAGAATTAATTTTACTTCTCCCGATGCATGTGGGTGACCCCTTATGCACGTGCCACGTGCAAAACGAAGAGGTGTCACTTAGTGACCTCGAGTTAATGAATTTTACACCTACTCTAAAAATTTATTGGCCCTGATCGAATATGGATGACCTTGGTTCACTTTTGAGTTTTATTTGCTTCCACTTACGAGTGTAGTTTTTAGAGCTGATTTCGAGTTTAGCGCCCGTTTAAACATATAAGAAGTAGTTTTGATAAATGTAAATAGTGGTTATGTAACATGTTACGAAGCTATCGTTGTTGGTTGTCACCCATTCTATGTAGATGGCCGGCAGGAAGCCTGCTGGTCGACCTGACCTGACCCGACCCGATCTACCCCAAATGCATGTAGTCATCATCTATGCTCAAAACTAACATCGAACTCGTACTCGGACCCCCATAACAGCTACGGCTCAAAAAGTTCTAGCACCACAGGCTAAGGTGATCGTTAGCATATTGCTATTGCTGGCATTTCACGGGTACTGATTGAGTCTTTCCTCGCGCACGCACTCCCATCTTCCCCGTTGATACCAACTGTCCCCATCCTTGACCCTTCACTGCCTACACCCAACTTCCGTTTGCCCCATCATGGGGAAGCGGCGCCGTCAGCGCCAGCTTTCTGATTCCTGCTCCGACTCTGACACCGACTCTCCTCACGTCTCGAATCCCTCTCCTGACCCTGCTCCTGCCTCCATGGAAACCGACTCCCGCCCAACCGTTACCCCTCCCTCCTCCACCCACCCCTCGGCTGCCCTACCCGGTACTGACCCTCGCTCGTCCTCCGACCACGCCCGGACCTCTGACCTTTGCTCGACCTCTGACCCCGCCCTGGACTCCGACCCTCGCTTGTCTGCCGACCACGCCCGGATCTCTGACCCTCGCCCGTCCAACGACCACTCCCGGAGCTCTGACCCGCGCACGAACTTTGATTACGCACCTGCCTGTGCCACCGCTGATCGCTCTTCTGACGAGCCTTACTTAGCTTCGAACGGTTCTTACCTGGTCGTTAAGCCTTGCGATAGTGAAGTTTCCTTCCGGAAGATCAACGTGTTCTGGCCACAAAAACAGGTAGACGCCATATGCGGTCCGTGTGATGTAGACATCGAGGCACCGGCGAACGGTACTCTGATCATTAAAACGAACTCACGCAAACACACCAAGGCGCTCCTGAAGACAACTTCTTTCTGCGGCAAGAAGGTCACCATTTCGCTCCACCACGCTCGGAACTCTTGCAAAGGAACTATTTTCGCTCCCGAACTCCGCCACATGACCGAAGACGAGATCCTGTCCGAGCTCAGAGGGGACGGGGTGACCCACATCCGACGTCTGACCACGTTCCGTGATGGCCAACGACGCGACACGAGTCTGTTAGTCCTCACTTTCGACTTTACCACTCTGCCGGAAAGCATCGTGATTGGCTGGTTAAAGAAGGATGTCAGAGTCTTTGTTCCGAACCCGCTTCGCTGCTACAAATGTCAACGCTTTGGACACGGTAGCTCCTCCTGCCGGCAGACTGCTCGCTGCCCCAAGTGTGGTGAGGCTCCCCATGAGGGTTCTCCCTGCACTTCCCCTGTCTCGTGCCTCAACTGCGGAAGCCCAGACCACACAGTCTCATCCTCTCAGTGCCCGACCTGGAAAAAAGAAAAAAGCATCTGTGAACTCAAAGCCAAAGCCGACATCTCTTACCCCGAGGCCCGCCGTCGCGTGGAAGCCCAAACCACAACACCAACACCCGGTAGGACTTACGCTAAGGCTGCCAGCACCCAGACAACCTCTTCCAGCACACAGACTGAGCCGATCGCCGCGCTACCTCCTCTGGAGCTGCTGCGGCCTCTGAGCCCCGAACCGATCGCCACCACGAGCACGACTCAGACGTCTGAAGTCCCTGATGAACAGATGCCGTCCTCTCCTGACTCCCAGCCAGCTGTCTCTCCCGAGATTGCGCAGAAGGCAAAGTCTGTTGGAGCAAGCCGCTCCACTGGCTGGATAAAAGTCCAGAGATCGAGTGGCGCTCGCCCAAAACCCTCCCATCACACGGATGAACAGTCCAAAGATCGCCAGCCACGACCACCGGTTCGGGTGGCGATGGGGCGTAACCGCGCGTCGAGCTGGGCCTCGCCCAGCCGTGGAAGATCTTCGCGTCCACAATCATGAATCCGCACACCATGCTGCAATGGAATTGTCGTGGCCTGCTTTCTAAGTGGGCCGAAATAAAAAAACTTCTTCTCGGTACTCACTCCGGTACTTATTGCTCTCCAAGAAACTTGGTTTTTACCAACCGATCAGTATAATTTTCAACTTTCTAATTACACATTATATAGACACGATGAACTCTATGGAGAGCGCCGACACGGTGGTGTGGCGCTTTACATTCAAAATGATTACACACACAGTTTACTTGATATCCAAACAGATTTACAGGCCGTTGCATGTACCATGTATATCAACGACAGGAACATCGATATTTGTAGTCTTTATCTTCCTCCGGATCTGGATGACACTGATCTTCTTAGACAGCTCAACCATCTCATCAACCAGTTTCAGAATCCATTTCTTCTACTTGGTGATTTTAATGCCCACAGTCCAGAATGGTGGGATGAACAGGCATTAGATCACAGAGGGAAAATAGTCGAAGACTTCTTGGACATGAATAGATTAGTAACGTTAAACTGCAATCAGCCAACACACTTTCACTTATCACACAACACCGAATCTGCCATTGACTTGACCATTTCTTCTCCGTCCCTGGCCACTTGGTTCGAGTGGACTGTTGATAGCGACATACATGATAGTGATCACTATCCCATTTCTCTTCGATTCTGTTTTCCAGTTCCTGGAATAGGTTCGTTCGTTCCTCGGTGGAATTTGGACAGAGCAGACTGGCTCAAATTCACCGAGTTATGCGAGTTCCAACACCAAGAACGCTTTGATCATCCAGAGGATGGAATTTCATATATAACAGAAACTCTCATATCAGCTGCACAACAATGCATTCCTCTTACGAAACCACCCACCACAGGTAAAGCTGTGCCGTGGTGGACCTCTGCTGTCCGTCAAGCCATAGCTAAAAGGAAAAGAGCTTTTCGCGCCTATCTGCGGCATCGCACAGATGATGCATTGATAAGACGAAATCGGGAACGCGCAAACGCAAAGAGAGTTATTAAAACAGCAAAGCGAGACTCCTGGCAACGTTTTCTTTCGTCTTTTACTTCTTCTACTCCACTGAGTAGGATTTGGACTTTAGTTCGTCGCCTCTCCGGAAAACATTCCAGTGCAACATTCCCTATGCTCAGGCTACCGGGAACTGGGGATACGATTAGTGATCCTCAGGATGTGGTTAATTGTTTAGCAGAAACTATTGCACATACCAGTTCTAACGCAAAATACCGTCCTGATTTTCTTAACACTGCACGTCAACTTTTCCAAGTTGACCCTACTATGTTTAATTCACAAAACAACGAAGAGTATAATGCTCCTTTCACAATGCATGAATTCAATGATGCGATACACTCAGCCGGGAACACGTCTGTTGGACCCGACAAACTACACTACTCATTTTTTCGCCATCTTTCAGAACATTCAAGGCTTTATATTCTTCAAACATTTAATGACCTCTTCTCTGGCCACTTATTTCCAGAAGATTGGAAGAACAGTATAATTGTCGCTCTCTTGAAACCAGGAAAGGCTCGCTATGATCCTAATAGTTATCGTCCGATCGCCATGAGTAGTTGTTTGGGAAAACTGTTAGAAAGAATGGTTTCCAAGCGACTCATGTACTTCCTCGAAAAGCATAGCAAACTCTCCAAGTACCAATGCGGTTTTCGTAAGCAACACTCTCCAGTAGATCATTTAGTTCGACTCGAAAGTGCTATTCGAAAAGGATATAAAAATAAGGAACACACCACAGCAATATTTCTCGATATCAAGAATGCTTTTGATATGGTCCATGTTGGGTAGTGTGTGCTGCCCTCTATACAGTAGTTATGTCACGTGTGCCTTTTGGCGCGCTATTCAGTCTTGGCTGTGCCGTCCTGCCGTTTGGTCGCCCAATACATCTCTACTCTGAAGGTCATCTCTAGCTGGACGAGCCGAGCTGAGAGACGACGCTACACTTGGCGACGAGTCTTCGGATCTGCGGGGAGCAGAGGAAGCCGTCTTCAGCGGCGACGGCTGCGGCACCGGCGGACGGAGCGACCTGCGGCGAGCGACGGCTGCGTGACGGACCGGCCGGGGCGCCGGTGAACGGCTCCGCGGCGCTGTCAGCGACCGGCTGAGTGGCGGGCCGGCCGGGGCGCCAGTGAACGGCTCAGCAGTGCGGTCGGCGACCGGTGAACGACCAGCCGCGGGGCACAGGCGACCGGGCGGAGGGTCGCGCAGACCCGTCTGGCAGGTAGGGAGAGGTCGGCTGGTCAGAGTGGGTGGGTGTGCGGCCGGTGGTACTGCGCGATCAAGATGGCATTGCAGCTGCCTGCAGTGGAGCCGTACAGAACCGGTGAGGATTTTGAGAGATGGTCAAAGGGTGTAGAGCGGTACTTGGTTGCCTTGAATATCACAGAGAGTGAGAGGAAATGTGCCGTGTTACTGCACCTGTTGGGGTCCGATATCGCCGATGTTTTTGACACCCTGCCTGACCCAGCTGTTGCCGTGCCCGATGCATTTGAATGTTGCAAAAGGAAGTTGGCAGCGTACTTGTCACCCAGTCGTAATGTGATCGCTGAGCGCATGACATTTCACAGCATGTGCATGCAGCCGGGGGAAGAATTTGACCAGTTTCTGGGCAGGCTGCGTGTTCAGGGACGCCGATGTGGTTTTTTCCGTTGCAGAGCAGGAACGGGAGCTTCGTGACCGGTGCGTAGCTGGGAGCTTTGGCCAGCTACGGGAGAAGCTTCTGCTGAAGGCAGCGGAGAAGGGAGACGACCTGACTTTGATGGACATCAGGAGCGCAGCCAGGGTCTACCAGGACGTACGGCAGCTGGGGTCGCTGGTTCAGGGTGGAGCAGGAGCGACTCAGGTTCAAGCTATCCGCCAGGATGCAAGTAAGTCAACTGACTGGAGACAGAGATCGGGTGATGGTAGTCATACCGGAGGGCCCGTGAAGGAATTTCGTGGGAAATGTTTCAAATGTGGTCAGGTCGGTCACAGGAAGGCGTTGTGTCCGTCTGGTGCAAAAATGACATGTTTCCAGTGCGGAAAGCCGGGGCACCTGAAGCGCGACTGCCCTGGAAGGAAGCCGTCTGGAGGCGGAGGACGCGGTGGACACGGGGGTCAGGTGAGACAGGTTGCTGACCAGACCCAGTGTATGTTGTCTGTTGAGCCTGATGGCCTGTGGAACGTCCAGATGGGAGGAGGGAGTGTAGCTGGAGCCCCGACAGCTGAACTCCTCGTGAATGGCGCAAACATTGAGTTTGTTGTTGACACTGGTTCGCCTGTCACTATTGTCAGTGATCAGACTCTCGTCCCAAGGCTGAAGTTGAGACCTAGCCAGCTGGTGCTGACGTCGTTCACCGGCCAGGAGGTCCCGTTGGCAGGAGAGGCTGACGTGAGCGTGGAGCTGCGTGGACAGCAGAAGATGCTTCGGCTGGTCGTCAGCAGGCTGCCTCCTCACAAGCCTCTGATGGGGAGAGAATGGATCGGTCCACTTCAGATGGGCCTGAAGTCACCTGCACAGGTAAAGACGATTGACCTGTCGCTAGACCAGGTGCTGCAGCGGCACGCTGATGTGTTCAAGGAGGAGCTGGGGAAGCTGTCCGTGAGAGCGCGTCTGCAGCTGAAACCTGGGGCCCAACCGGTCTATTACCCAGCTAGGTCAGTCCCCTTTGCTCTCAGGTCTGCTGTGGAGAGGGAGCTCAACCGCTGGATCTCAGAGGGGATTGCGGAGAGGGTTGACAGTAGTCATAACTCGGGATGGGGGACTCCGCTCGTCCCCATTCCGAAGGCAGATGGCGTACGTCTCTGTGCTGACTACAGGTTGACCGTCAACCCCCAGATCGTGCCGCAGAGACATCCCACTCCGACGCCGGAGGAGGTCTTCGCAGGTGTCCAGGGTAAGGTGTTCGCGAGGCTGGACTTGCGAGACGCCTACTTGCAGCAGGAGCTGGAAGCCGACTCCAAGGACATCACAACGGTGACCACTCACATCGGGAGGCTGCGCATGAACCGGCTGCCCTTCGGTATCAGTGAGTGTTGTGGGATTTTCCAGTCAGCTATTGATCAGATCTTGGAGGGCATTGATGGTTGTGTGGCGTATCTTGATGACCTGTTGGTGACGGGTGAGAACGAAGCAGACCTCCTGAGGCGCCTTGACAGGGTTCTGGGTAGGCTGAAAGAGCACGGGGCTAGACTCAAGAGGGAGAAGTGCGAGTTCAACATAAGAGAGGTCAAGTACTTGGGGTGGATCATTTCTGCAGACGGGTTGAAGCCTGTTCCAGAGAAGGTGGCAGCAGTGGTCGGCATGCGCGAGCCGAGGAACGTCACCGAGCTGAGGGCGCTGCTGGGTTCAGTGAACTACTACCAGCGCCTGGTCCCCAGCTTGGCTTCGATGCTGGCGCCGCTCTACGCGCTGCTCAAGAAGGGGGCGGTATGGCGCTGGACGGCAGCGTGCCAGTCGTCTTTGGACCAGGTAAAGAGGGTGCTGACAAGTGGAAGTGTGCTGATGAGATTTGACCTGACCCTCCCTCTCAAGCTCGTCACTGATGCAAGCAGCGTTGGCGTTGGAGCAGCTCTCGTCCATGTGCTTCCAGACGGGACGGAGAGACCGGTGTGCTTCGCTTCGCGGACGCTGACAGCGACGGAGCAGAAGTACGCCATGGTAGAGAAGGAGGCGGTCGCAGTATCCTTCGGTGTCAGAAGATTCAGCCAGTACCTGTATGGTAAGCACTTCCATCTCGTGACCGACAACCGTGCTCTGTCTCACATCTTGAACCCACAGAGAGAGCTCCCGGCACTGTCAGCTGCGCGTATGCAGAGATACGCCCTTCAGCTCGCGGCGTTCTCGTACGAGGTCGAGCTGAGGAAGTCTGAGAACATGGGGCTGGCTGATGTTCTGTCGCGACTGCCGCAGGTTGGAGCCGACGGAGACTCTGTGGAAGAGGAAGAGGTGTACCTGGTACGGCACTGGGAGGAGGAAGGACCAGCTCTGTCGGCCCAGGAGGTGGAGACGCTCACCCGACGAGACTCCACTCTGGGGAGAGTTCTGACGTATGTTCGTTCGGGATGGCCCTCTGTAGTGGAGCCCGAGTTTAGAGCATTTAAACAGCGCTCTACCGAGCTCTCTACGGATGGGGACTGTTTACTGTGGGGCGGAAGGGTGGTTGTGCCCACAAAAATGCGCAACAGAGTGTTGCAGGAGCTGCATGCTGGACATCTGGGATCCGTGAAGATGAAGCAGCTGGCCAGAAGGTATGTCTGGTGGCCCGGACTCGACACCGAGCTGGAGAGCCTGGCCAGAGTCTGCGGGTCCTGCGTTGAGAAACGCGCGGCGCCTCCAAAGGCAAGTTTGCATCCGTGGGAACCCACCCAGGGCCCGTGGGAACGGGTTCACATCGACTTTGCTGGGCCGTTTCAGGGCAGCATGTTTCTTGTGGCCCATGACAGCTACTCAAAGTGGTTGGAGGTCATCCCTATGAAAACTGTGTCCGCCGAGCGTACCATCGATGAACTGAGGTCTTTGTTCGCGCGGTTGGGTCTGCCAAAGCAAGTTGTGTCAGATAATGGACCACAGTTTACTTCTCGTGAGATGTCAGAGTTTATGATGATGAACGGTGTACGTCACATCAAAGTCGCTCCGTACCATCCGTCCAGTAACGGCGCAGCGGAAAGAGCAGTTCAAACTGTAAAGAACAGCCTGAAAGCGAGCATCCAGGATGGTCAGAGTCTGGCGACGCGTCTGGCCAGATTTCTGATGTCTTACCGCAATGCTCCGCAGGTTTCCACGGGGAGGTCGCCGGCGGAGTTGCTGTACGGCCGGACTCTGAGGACCCGGCTCGATCTTCTTCGCCCCGACCGTGCGCAGACGGCTGTCGACTACCAGGCGCGGATGGCGGAGACAGCTGGCGGCGAGCTGCGCGGGTTCGGCATCGGCGAGGACGTCTGGGCTCGCAGCTTCTCTGGACCCAAGTGGCGGCGGGGCCGTATCGCTGCCAAGACGGGACCTGTCTCCTACGAGGTGGACGTCGGGGACACCTGCTGGAGCCGTCACGCCGATCAGCTGCTGCGTGCCGGGCAGTCTGGGCGAGGGGTGACACCGGAGGACATCGCCGGGCCTGACCGCGCAAGGACGCCGCTGGACGCCGCCATGGGCGGGACGCTGCCGGCGCCGGCCGCTGGGCCGTCAGCGAGCGGGTCGGCGGGGGCGACGGGTTCGGTGCCGGCGGCTGCGGTGGTGGCGCCGTCTCCGGGGCCGGAGGAGGCTGGGCGGCCGCCGCCGCCCGAGGCTGAGCGGCCGCCGCCGCCCGACTCCCCTGGGCCGGCCGGGGTGCCTGCACGTGAGACTCAGACACGTGAGACTGCACGTGAGACTGTCGTGCGCGGCGCGGACACTGCGTCGCCGGCCGAGTGTTCGGATGCGGTGCCGGTCTTGCGGCGCTCCTCGCGGGTGCGACGTGAGCCCGACCGCTTGGTGGTGGGTTAGTGTTTTGATAGTCGTACATATGCACATCAGTGGCTACGTTTCTGTTTGTTTTGCTTGTGTTCGGTAGCTGGGCGCTTATTTAGCAGGGGGTGGTGTTGGGTAGTGTGTGCTGCCCTCTATACAGTAGTTATGTCACGTGTGCCTTTTGGCGCGCTATTCAGTCTTGGCTGTGCCGTCCTGCCGTTTGGTCGCCCAATACATCTCTACTCTGAAGGTCATCTCTAGCTGGACGAGCCGAGCTGAGAGACGACGCTACAGTCCACAAGCCAGCTTTGTTGTCCTGTCCAAACTTCAAAGACTTGGCATCAAGGGCCATCTGGCACATTACTTGTTCAACTTTCTTTCTCAAAACAGGCGATTTCAAGTCAAACACCGTTCCATTTTTTCTACTTACCACGAATTAGAAAACGGCCTCCCTCAAGGCAGTTGCCTCTCACCAACGCTATTCAACATCATGATCGACGATTTATTTGATGGCATTCCTTCCGATATTTCTTTTTCTTTATTTGCAGACGATAGCGCTATTTGGTGCACATCTATGTAGGGACCCTGATATAGGCGTACAGCGGCTACAGGGTGCCCTAAATGTAATCGAACGCTGGTCCAGAACAAATGGCCTAGAATTTTCTGCACCAAAATCGGCCTTTATGATATTCACAAAAAACAATAGACTCGAACTCACGCATCATCCACAGCTCAATGATGTGTCTATCCCGCTTGTCTCGAGCTTCAAGTTTTTAGGAGTAATTCTAGACAGGAGGCTGTCTATGACTCACCACATAAAACACATACAAATAAAATGCAAGAAAAGACTTAATCTTTTTCGCTGTCTTACCGGTGCGGCTTCTGGTGCCGACCGATCTACGCTGCTCCGCCTATACAAAGCAATAGTCTTACCAATAATAGAGTACGGGTCCGTCGTTTACGCCGGAGGAAGTCGAACGAACCTGCTCAAATTAGAGGCAGTCCAAAACAACTTTATTAGATTAGCATTAGGTGCAATGAGAACCTCACCCATCCACTCATTGCAAGTTGAGGCACACATTCTTCCACTACACATCAGAAGAATAGAACTTACACTCAGATATTACACAAAGATCAAACAACATCCAGCTCATGCCGCTTATGCATCAACATCTGTTCTGCCAAGGCTGCACTTTAGTTATCTTGGCAGATGCGAAAGAAGAACGGGACTCACCATCGCCTCCAGGGTTAAAAAGTACCAGGATGACATTGGATATGTATTACCCAGCATCACACCCCTCCCCCAATTCTTCATATCCCCCTGGACGGCTCGACCTCTTAGTACTTCTTTTCTGCTCGCAAATAAAAAACACACTTTTTCTGCAGATGAGATACAGCAAACATTTCTCGAGTACCAGGCGGCTTTTCCTCACTTCCAATTTGTTTTTACGGACGGCTCCAAGTTAAACAACACGGTCGGCGTTGGCATTTTTGCTTCCACACTTCCAGAAACAAAGTTGAGACTACAGAACGATTTAACCGTACACCATGCAGAGTTGTACGGAATATCCCATGCTCTTCAGCTTGTTAAGCAGCACAATATTCAAAAAGCATGTATTTGCTCTGACTCAAAGTCAGCAATATTAAGTCTTCAACGACCAGATATCACACAGCACATACACCTAAAAATACTGGATATACATCAACAACTCATCGAGAGAGAAGCCGAAATTAGATTTTTATGGGTGCCTGGACATAGTGGAATTAGCGGCAATGAGACAGCAGACCGCTTTGCCAAGCAGGCCCTAGCACTGCAACACATAACTGAAACTCCATATGACTACTGTTCCATTCGTGCCTCCATTACGTACCATTGCTACAGCTACTGGCAACGCATTTGGGACATAGACGGAGCTGGTACACAATTACATAGAATTAAGCCACTCATAAGTAATTGGTCATCATCAAATCGTCATTCCAGAAAAGAAGAAAAAGTATTAACAAGGATGCGTATCGGACACACCCATCTCACTCATAACTTTATATTTGCTCACCAACCAAGACCTACTTGCCATCAATGCAGAGTAGTATTGGACATCAAACACATCTTGATAGATTGTAGGAAATATATCACAGAACGTCAACACATACAAGATTACTGTCGAGCACATGATATCACATTGTCATTACACGTTGTCTTAGGCGACGATCATCCTGGGTTACTTCAACTTCTCTTCTCTTTTCTCGTTCAAATAGGTCTACTCCATCGATTGTAGGCTGGTCATCTTATTTTGATTCACTCTTTCTCTCTCTACTTCCAATATAATATGAACACACACGGTGCGCAATGGCCTGTAAGGGCCGAAGCACCTACTCAACTAAATGAAAAAATGAAAAAAAGTTCTAGCAGGCCAGATTTTTCCTACTTTGGGCGTTAACCTAAAATGACGCGACCAAGACCTTGAAATTGGGCATCATCGGCTTTCTCTCATCACGGGCAGCATCCTCGCTTTTCCGCGAAGCTCTACCTCGATCAGGGGCCGAAAGCATACCTTAGCGTTACGTTGGTAAACGTTTTACCTTAGCGACCTGTAAAACACGAATAAGAGCTACGGCGACACAGAAAACGTATTCGATAGCTTTTTTAAAGCTCTTTCGCCAACCTCGCCTCAGAGTCAGATATGACTTCGGGTCTATGGCTTGTGTACCACAGAGGCCAAACAGATAAACGGACGGATTTTGCCGAAACATTTGTTCTGTAACAACCTATGATTCAGTGAATGTGTATGATATTCATGTATCACTATCTTGTTTGTTTCGTCGAAACACGTCGCATGGCTTACAATATGAACTTAAAAACTTAACTTGAAACTTGGCATCAGGTAAAGGCAGTGGCGTATCCAGGGGGGAGGCCAAGAGGCCATGGCCTCCCCCTTTGGGATCAGACATGCAAGTGAACCCTTTGGGTCACTTGAGTGCAGTGACGTACCCAAGGGGGGCCACGGGGGCCCCTGAGGTCCAAGGATGACTCAGGGGGACCAGCGTGACGAAAGCGTTCTGGGTCTTCCTGCCTTAATTCCAGTACTAGACAGAACGTCTTTTACTCGGAAGAAAAACTGATATCAAAGAGCGATATCTATCACAGTGACGAACACAGAGCGCCCCTAACTACCTGAGAGCCTCTGGCTACCTGAGGATCCCCCTGGTTACCTGAAGGCCCCCTGGTCACCTGAGGAGCCCCTGGTTATGTGACGAGCCCCTAGTTACCTGAGGGCCCCTGGTTATCTGAGGGGCCCCTGGCTGTCTGAGAGCTTCCTGGTTGTCTAAGGCCCCTGGCTACCCGAGGGGCCCCTGGTCACCTGAGGGGCCCCTGGTTAGGTATCTAAGGGGCCCTGGTTACCTGAGGGCCCCTGGTCACGGGACCCTGTTTACCTGAGGGGCCCCTGGTTACCTGAAGGACCCCTGGTTATCTGAAGGACTCCTGGTAAAGGACCCCTGGTTACCCGAGGGGCCTCTGGTTACCTGAGGGGCCCCTGGTTATCTGAGGGGCCCCTAGTTACCCAAGGGGCCCCTGATCCCCTGGATGGCCCCTGGCCAGTCATCTAAAGAAGCCCTGGTCACCTGAGGGGCCAATGTTTACCCGGGGAGTACCTGGTTATCTGAAGGGCCTCTGCAGTCACATGAAGGCCCTTGGTTGCCCGAGGAGCCCCTGGTATAACCGGCACCTGATTTTCAGAGGGTCCCCTGGTCATGGTAACCTGGTGGGCCCCTGATCAATTGGAAAGCCCGTGCAGTCACCTGAGATGCCCCTGATTACCTAAAGGGCCCCTGATCACTTGGATTCAATGGCATAGCCAGGGGCGAGGAGACACGTGTCCGTTATATGGTTTAGGGTCCCCTCGGGCCCGAAGGGGCCCTACGGTGCCAATTGACATCAGAGGGTCCGCGCTGGCCACGGTTCAACTGGAAAGGAGTGAAAGGACACCATGGGGCTTTTGAGAATGCGTCATGGGCTCTTATGTAGGCACACTTATCTCCAGAAGGGCCCCACCCCAGGTTCTGAAGGACCTTGCCGGCCTCTGGGGGTCCTTGAAGGCTAATGAGGGATCAGCTGTAAGGGCCCCACACCTGTTTGTTATGCCCCACGGCCCACATCAGTGTTTCTGAGGGCCCTCACAATGGCGCCTGGGAGGGCCCTCACCGCCACCTCTAAGGTCCCGTCACCAGTGCCTCTTAACGGCTTACATCGGCGGCTCTGAAGGCCCGCTCACCGGCGCCTCCGGGGGCCCTATACCAGCGCATCTAACGGCCATTTACCGGCGACTCTGAGGGCCTCTTACCGGCATCTGAGGTTCCCTTGCCGGCCTATGAAGGGCCACTAGTAACTTTCAGGGCCCCATACATGCCTATGACGGCCCCTACCAGCGTCTCTAAGCCTAAGACCCCCACAACGGCGCCTGTGTGGACCCCACACCAGCGCATTTGACGGCCTTTCACAGACACGTCTGAGGGACCAACATCGGCGACTCTGAGGGGCTCACTCGCTTCGCTTCTTCATAAAAGACCGTGCATTTTATGCACATTTCTCTGGCAAAATGATACTTTTATCTGCCAATTTTCCACATTTTTTCAGGGCTTAGACAGACAGACAGGCAGGTAGACAGTGAAACAGACAGACAGATAGAGGGGCCCGTCCGCAAGGGGGACCGGACCCACCGTGCCCAATCCCCCCATCAAAATGTTCTGGATACGTCCCTGCCTGGGTTGACAGTGCCCCCAGGTAACCCTTCGAGAGCAGGTTGTCCCCTCCTGGACGAAATCCTGGGTACGTGCAATGTGCATGCTTGGGTGTCCCAAGAGAAACAACCTTCAGGGCCTTATCCGAAGTACTGGCCCAAACTTAAATAAAGTCATTACATCATTAAGTCATTAAATAAAGTCAAATACGTCAAACTATCTTAAATTTGCCGTTTGATGGCCCTCAGAAGTCAGAGGCCGGCGTAGGGCCCTCATAGGCCGTCTCAGGGCCCTCAGAGGCTGAGGCCGAGCCAGAGCTAGCGTGGGGGCCCTCAGAGGCCGCTTCAGCGGTCCTACAGAAGCTTAGACTTGGGCGTGGGACCCATTGACGCTGGCGTGGAAGTTGGAACCCTAAGGAGCCAGCGTGCAGCCCTCTAAGGCCAGCGTGGGGCCCTCTAAGTCCATTGTTGGGCTTTCTTAGGACAGTGTGGGGCCCTCATGTTCAGTGTGGGGCTGTCTATGTCCAGCTTGGGGTCTTCTAAGCCCAGCGGCGTGGGGCCTTCTGAAGTCAGTTTGAGGCCCACTGACCACTGAGACCAGTTTAGGACCCTCTGAAGACAATGTGGAGCCCTCTGAGGCCAGTGTGAGGCCCTCTGTGACCAGCGTGAACCCTCTGAGGCCAGCGTGGGGCCAGCTGTCATCTGACTTCAGACGCTGGTGCTGGGCCCTCAGAAGCCAGCACGGGGCCTTCATAGGCTGGCATCGGGCCATTAGAGGCCACTTTGAGGGCCTCGGCAGCCATACTTCAGATCTTCTGCATGTTTGAGTTCCCTGAGGTATGAATGGCCCTTTGAAGCCAGCGCGGAACCCTCAGAGGGCAGCATGGGCTTCTAGAGACCGGCGTGGCTTCGAGAGCGGCATAGGGCCATCAGACTGACTCAAAGGCTCCAAAGAGCCAGCGTGGGGCCCTGGGAGGTCAGCAATAGCATGGGTCTCCTGAGGCCATTATAGGGCCGGCTCAGGCCAGAGTCGTTCACTCTGTTGCCGAACATTATGTGGCCGGCTGAGGCCAGAGTCGTTCACTCTGTCGCCGAAGAGGGGCTTTCAGAGGCCAAAATGAGCCTTCAGAGTTTTTAGATTGCCAAGTGTGCCTAAGGGCTCCCTCACATAGCGAAAGTGGCAAAAAAAACCGCACCTGTGCGTGGTTTAAGTATGCTACCACTGGGGCCCCTAAGGTAAGGGTGGGCCCCTTGAGCAGGTTTGGCCTCCCCCTTTTCAAGATCCTGGATACGCCACTGGGTAAAGGTCATGTCCTGACCGGAAAAGAACCTGCTGCATATATATAGATCGATCTGTGTTGCTGAGCTGAACACACTCCAGGTGCTGTCATCGCTCTACAGCGTCTCCCTCAAAAGTTGTTGTCTAAAATGAGCAAGGTGTCATGGCTATAAAAGTATCTAGCGTTTTTAGCATATTCGTTCAAAGCAGAGGGCATTCGTACTTTTTCCCATATCTTATCATGATTGGTGAGGTCACATATTTGACCTGACTTTACATCTCAGATGTACGCGCCCTGCTGGGGGGGGGGGGGGGGGTTGAACACCCCCTTTGTGGTTTTTCGCGAATTGGTACACCTTATCATACATCAATTCTACACATTTTGTGAAAATTTCAGACCAAGGTCATTCAAGGTCAGGTCACCAGGTCACTTGAAGTGACCTCACCTCATAAAAAAAGTTTCAACGTCTGTCATAGCTACACCGAGTGACCGATCGCTTTGAAACTTTCAGCGATTGCTAAGAGCAATAGCATGTACAAAATGTATATCTCAGAATTTTGATATCGATGACCTAAGGTCAGGTCAATTTTGCGACCTCCCCATTATAAGTCAATGGGAGAAAATTGAAATGCGCCTCTTTTGGACGAAAGACATTATAAACACTCCCAAACACTGAATTACAAGTGGTTTAGACACACTGAACATGAAAATGGTGTCCGTGACCCCTGTGTATGCCCTGAGGTCATCTTAGGTCACGAATGGTATCTAACAGTTTTTCGCAAATAACTTTTGATAGAGGCATGCTAGAGCGATGAAAACGCCTTAGATGTGTTCAGCTCGACGATACGGATCGACTGATATGCAACATGACCCTTTCCGGTCAGGTCATGACCTTGACCTGAGGTCAAATTTTCAGGTTGACCTTTCAAGGTCAAGTTATAGTTCATTCGATGCGTCTTGACGAGAGGAACACGATGCCGGTAAAAGTAAGCTCGTACAAGGCTTGAGTCAAAAGTTATTGCAGAAAAACTGTTTCCGAAAAAATCGGCTATTTTTGCAGTTTTTGCCCCCTGCAGGCAAAACCGTTGACGTTAGGTCAAATCTGAGAGAATTACTCAGAAAGGGCGTTAATAGGGCTATCGAATGCGCTTTTCCGCGGCGCTGTAGCTCTATTGGTTCCCGAGTTATGCGTTGGCTTCTTGGAAATTGTCGACGTTCGACCTGGAAATCGGCGAAATTTTGCCTTCAATGACCTCTGGTGACCTGACCTTTGACCTGACCAAAAAATTGACCGAAGTGATTTCCTCATTATTTTTGACGCTCTTTCGAACGCCGCCTTCCGCGTATCGCTACGTGGCCCAGGAGCCGAGTTAGAAGGGGGTGTTCAAACACCCCCCCCCCCCAGCAGGGCGTGGAAATCCAGGACCCCCAGCCGGGCGCGGGTTAAGATTTACAGATAAGATATCCTCCTTTCGTGGCGCTGCGCGCCGAGGTTTTTCTCAAGTCTCAACACACGAAAAAACCGGGAGGAGTGTGGGTAAAAACACCTACCCATCAAGACGAAGACCGGAAACCCGACCCCCCCCACACACACACACACACTAACAAATCCGTGGCGCCGACGACCCTGTGAGAAAGTAAAACTGAAAATCATTGGATTCGTCTCTTCCCAAGAATCTTTTTGGTCCTTACCGCGAGGCTCTATCTCCAACAGGAACGAAATGGCGCGGGGGTGGCAACCCCCCATGTGCGTTCTACGGGATGGGAAAACCGAAAATGGCACGTGCGGGCGAGGGTTAAAGGGACCCTCCCACCTTAACATTAGATTTGAGTTGAGATAGCCAAAATGGGGTCCCTGGCTCACAATTACCGGTTTCGGCACTCACAACATCGAGAAATGCCTTAAATCGGAAATATTGAATTTCAAAATTGCAGCATTTTGATTCAGAGGGGCTAATGCTTAGGAATACCCCTCTGAATGTGTGACGTCAGCGCAGATATCTAACGATTTTTTAAATGTTTGACTAAAACGTTTTGTAGCACGCGGTGGTATATGCTATTTGCGCGCAACATCTGCCGCAAACGCCGCACTTCTAAAATAAAGTCGCTAGAAACAGCGGAGATCCCAAAAAAGTAAACAAAAGTAAAAGTCAGATATCTTGAAAACCGGTGAATATTTTTCGGTGAAATTTGGTAGATATTCGTTTTCGCTCTTTCTGAACCGAGCGACATCACTTTCATGCCAATTCATAAACTTTTTTGAAGGTGGGAAGGTCCCTTTAAGGGCTGGTGCCATTATATGGAAGGGCGCTACGGATTGTTAGGGGGCGGCAACATGATATTGAGGGCTTACTAGTTACTCCGATGCTTTGGAAGGGCGCCCGTGGGCGCCACCGTTTATTTGAAGGGCAACATCATCACTTTGAGGGGCGCTACGCACACTGTAAGGGGTGCCAGCAACACTGCAAGGGGCACCACCGGGCACCGACACTTCAGGAGCGCAACCGACGAAACAGCTGCAGGGAAAAATGAAACACTCAAGATTCCTTTGAAACAGGCTAACTTTCCCGCTGCAGCATTGTATTTGGCAGCATATGGAAGCAGTTTATGAGACACACAAGAAGCATGTGACACGAATAGCGACGCAAAAGAAATGGATATTTTTATATGTAACGGAAGTTATTTTTACGTATTGTTCTGTATTGGTTCTGTATATGATTTGTGAAAAATGAGTTTTTTTTCAATTGATGAGATACAAATTACAAAACACATTTTCGTAGCGTGTAGAGATCAAGATGGGCATGTGTTCATACTTTCCTATGGACGGCCCTGGGTGCCCCTTGCATAGGTGACAAGCAATGTCTGTATTGTGATTAACTATTGAGTATTGAGCTGAATACCTTGACCTACAGCAAAAAATCAATAGATCATGGGCAAGCAAAGCATCTAGCACATACACTTTCAGCCAATATTTTTCTGTGTTTTCCATATTCTAAAATAGGCAAGAATTACAATACAGTACCGTCCTAGGTATTTTGGTGAATTGACGCTGGCAATGCAAATCTGACGTGATTCTGAGGATTGAGATAATTTAACTTTCAATTTGGTATTGATGCTTATGTTATTGATCCCTCAATATTTACCAAATTGTTATCACATCATTGTATGCATATTTGCTAAGTAAGCATGCAGGGGAGCCCTCTGCCTTCAACTGTGCAGGCTGTGGCTCTTATCTGAAGAAATTTGTGATAATGGGGATAATATTGAATATAATGCATATTGTGTATGTAAGTCACAAAAATAGAAGTTAAATTACCATTTTGGTAGTAGGAATAGGGATTTGGTGGGGAAATTCAATGTAATTTTTGTATTTTGGATTGGTATGGTATATGTGAACATTGGTATGCACCCATATTGATAAAATTTATGCCACCAGTCACAGTCCTAATTGTTCTTAGGAAGCTGAAGAAAACTCTTGAGAATGTTGAAACACGTATTAGCAAGAAGATCATTGCTTCTTATGATGCCTATGTGGAGATGCAAGTGGTATTCATCAAACTCGCATAAGCCTACAGCTGACAATGAAATCCTAGAGCTCCAAATTATTAATCATCTATATTCTGACTCTCTTAAATCACTTCAACACTCATCAAAAGTATTTGACCAAGGAAATAAAGATATGAGCAATGATTCAACCAAACCATCCATAATATTTCTGCAAAGTCTAGATGTGATCAGACCCCACACCAGGCCAAATAGGCACCAGCTGACTGTTCTGACTGAGGCGGCTCTGAGTGGACTCACCAGCTCGCCACTGTCGGCTGCTGAGCGCGACCTGCTGCTGGTGTCGGCCGCTTTGGTGACCCGCCGGCCGGACCCGGTTCGGCCGGCCGTGCTCTCGGCTCTGGCGGACACCAGTGACACTGGCGCCACGCTGCGGCTGCTGTACGTGGCCGGTGTGGCGCGGCTGCGCCTGCCGGCCGCTCTGTGGCGGAGCGTGCAGCGCCGGCTGGCCGACCGCTGCGCCGCGCTCTCCGAGCCGGACCTGCTGGCGCTCAGCTCCTCCTCGTTCCGGTGCGGCGCGGCCGTCAGCAGCGGCCGGCTGCAGCAGCGGCTGCTCTCCGCCGCCCGCCGGCTGGCTGACTCGGACCGCCAGACGGGACCGCTGGTCGCCCTGCTGAAGGCGCTCCGGCTGGCGCGCGTCTCGTGCGCGCCGCTGCTCGCCTCGCTGCGCGGTCTGGTGTCGCGGCGCGGCGCCGCTCTGTCCCTGCCGGCCGCCGCCCACCTGGGCGCCTGCTGGTGCTCCCCTCCTCTCCGGGATCCAGCGCTGCTGGCTGCACTCGAGGCCACTCTGCGAGGACGGCTGGAGACGCTACTGAATCGACAACAGATCTCAGCCAGCGGCAGCTGCCCAGATGGCAGCAGCGTCCCATCAATAGATGACGCCACCGATCCTGTACCGGACGGCCGACCGAAGGACGTCGCCCGTCTGCTGTACACATTCGCCCACCTGGGTCACACGCCCTCCCCCGATACGCTGGAGGTGACGGAGCGGTGGATGGCCGGCTGGTCGACCGGTCGTCCGCTGCCCCTGGTGGACGCTCTCCTCTCGCTGGCAATCCTCGGCAGGTACCCCCAGACGCTGCTGGAGCGGGTACTGACGGAGGACGTGTCACAGCGGCTGGCAGGTGAGGCAATGGGTGTGCGATTAGAGAAGGGACGTCTTGTGTACGTGTAGGGAGATCTTGTGTGGTTTTGCAGCCACGTTATGGTTCGAGTGTCCTTGTGTGCAGAGTGTCCTTGTGTTTGACAGAACGCTGGCATTGGTTAAGTAGTTATGTGTATTATGCCGCCGCTCATCGTAAAACAAATGATGTGTGATTTGTGGTTTTTATTGATTATCCATAGGCCGCTATCTAGTAATGACATTTTTAAGTTTAACTGCATGTCTACATCGTAAATGCTGATTCCATAATACCCACGGGAGATCACGCGTTCCATAGTGTTGTATAATCCCCTTATCTCCTTTGGATCGGGTGTCCGGTGCTGGTTGTATAACCGCCGACAGTAGTAACCGCAGCTGACGGTGACCGGGAGAGGCTGTGACACTGATGTCCCGCCCCCAGCCGCCGGCCGGCCTCGTCAGCTCAGCCGTCTGGCGCTGCTGCACCAGGCCGCCCGTCTGGAGGCGGGTCTGTGTCCGCCGCCGCTGCGGCTGGCGGCGGCCGACGGTGCGCTGCCGGCGCCCTGTCTGCAGCGCGAGCTGCGCCGGCGCCCGCGGCTGGCACCTCTGCTGGAGCGGCTGCGGCGCCAGCAGCCGGCCGCCCGGGTCGAGCTCGGCTACCCGGTGCCGCACGTGAACTGGGCCAGCGTGCTGCTCAGCTGGCCCGACGGCCGTCGCGCCGCCGTGGAGCTGCTCGACGGTGACGCCCTCCTCCTCACAGCGTCTGACGTCAGCGGGCGTCCTTACGTAACCGGGTGTGATGGCGTCAGTGAACAGTATGACGTCAGTCGACGTAGGGACGTCAGTGGGTCTGTTGTCACTGTACCCGATGACGCCACCGGTAGTGGTGTGGGTGCGCCGTGCGGCACAGGTGAAGGCCGGTCAGTGACGGGTCCGGAGACCGCCGTCGGACTGATCAGGCTAAAGGCCCGTCTGTCTGAGAGACTAGGTTACCTAGTGTGGTGGGACCCGGGACTCGCCTGCGGCTAGAACCGCCACCGGGGTGGTCGTATCGTTTATTGACAAATGTTCGCGTGGCGGTGGTGTCAACTCGTAAAACGTCTGGCGCCTTTGAAAGTAGCTCTCTGGGGTAGAACCCTGGTGGTGTGCGAAGCAGAGCCAAATGGAGTGGGATTGGGGGCAATATAATGAATAGGAGGGATGTGATTGTGATACGATTTAATCTAACTTTATTTTCTAATCATTCATTTTTGATAATGTTGTGGCATCGATGTTGACTGGCGTAGGTCCGTACAATGTATCGAATGGCACCAGGCGTGTGGCTTAAACTCTAACCAAACGCTTTTATTAGGCAACTTGGGCTTTCTGTATTTTATTCCGGGCGGTGCCGCTCGAATGCTACGATTCATGATGTGTTTATAATGAATCGTTGTTCGTTATTGTCTGTCTGTCATAAAGATGCATTGTTTGCTATATCGAACCTGATGAATAAATCAATATGCGAACATTTTCCTCTTTCTGTGCATTTTGAGCAATATGAACTTGTCACACAGTATTTTATTACGAAATCAACGTGAACGGGTGACGCAGGGTCCAAGATCACGGGCGACTCGAGTCTCGACATTCAAACATTTCCCTGCGTCCGATTTGCCGCTGCACTTTTGTTGGACTTGCGACCATATTTAAAAGGAAAACTGTGACCTTGAAGTCTGAACGAACTGGAATTATACATTTTAAATTTATTATAATGCCAATTTAATTTCAGTCACGGTTTTGTCCGAAACTAGCATGTCGTAAAATCCGGCGAGGGCTCAGTCGACAAGGCGCTCGTTTATCAAGTGCATGGAAATATGTAGCCTGAAGGACAACCTTCAAAGCTGGTAAAATCTGGCGTCGCAAACATGATCGGAGTAAGGCGAACGTTTGCCGAAAGTTGCGGAATGACCTTCACCGGACCTCACCTATGTATATCGCTTTTCATATAGACTCAGACGGAGGGAGTAACTAGCCGGCGCGGCGCCCACTTCGCTGTTTAGCCCGTTTAGCCCCTGATCGGGCTAGAGCTTCTCGGAAAAAATGAGCGTGTGGGGTCGCTAAGCCGTATCTTGCGCTAACCCGTGCAAGAAATCGCGAGAATATCGTGCGGAAACCGTCTTGGGTGCACCCCCCCCCCCCCCATCGCCGTAGGGTTAGGTAGATAGGTATGCCACAAATTTTCTGAGCTATTAGTGATCTATCGGCATTCGGCACAGCAAATAATGATGCCGCCAAAATTTTGGCAGCCATTAGCCGCTCATATTTGAAACGGTGTAGCTGAATGTGGTCGGCTAACAGTCGGGAAATTTCGTAAAACAATAGGTACACACAATTTTGGTGGTGGTCGTATTCAGCAGTAAACAATCTTCCGGTCAACCGCCCGATGCCTGCGAAGTTCAAAATTGCAACGTTGTCGCCTTCAGGCCGCATTGCTTTAGGCATGCCTATTGAGATTTAGTTTCCATGAAGCAAACCCGTTCAGGCCATTTGGTTCACGGTATCCAGTTCTTGTAACGCTATATGTAAAACATTACCGCAGTAGTAGGTAGGTATTTTGTGCTAACGGTCATCTTTGGGGCATATGAAGCTGAATGAGTGCAGCATGGCTAAAAATGTCTCATGCACTTTGATTTTCGACGGGTGCCTGGCCATCTCCGCTGCTGGAGCGTTGTCGCCATCTGACGTCCACAGATGCCTTTTTCGGGCCGTTCAAAGGACAAAATACCTTCCTTAGACCACGAAATGTGTTTCAATATAATTTATTTTTTGTATATGTTTTGATTCTTGGCTGAATTGCAGTGACTTGCACTTTTTCCGTTAATTTTGCCATAGGTACGTTTTAGGTCAGAGACCCCAAACCACCCGCAAGTCGCAACCAACCGCTTGACGACTGGTGCACGCTCCTTTTTGGTCGCGCCAAAGCTTGTCGATCAGATTATCTCTGGTTCTAGGTATGTCTTGCTTCGCTCGCTGATATAATCGCGCTTTGCTTAGGTACTCCTACCTACCTGTTTGCAGATGAGCTGCTGGAGCTCTCCAGCAAGATCCATGCCGAAAATCCGTTTACGAAGTTGAGAACGGCACGATTGCCTTCTGGTGGCTTAGGCTAAAAACGCGGAAAGGGACTACTCTGCTGATTCTGGATAATAATTGGCTCGAGCCTCGAGTCGTGACCGGTCACCAAAAGCATGTCTCCAAACTAGATAGCTAAGGGATCTCTTATAAAAGTATGATGCATGTATGTCATTATGTAGAATCGAGCGCAATTGTACTTTTAGCCAGAAAATAAATGTTCGGGTAATTCTGGGACACATGTACACACAAAACCACCCATTGGATCGTCTTGTCACCCTTGTCGAGTCCGGGTCACGGGACCCACCAAAGAACGTACATATTTCGACAGCCCAAATAAATATTGACCAATTTGACCTAATGTGAGTGCCCGCGCGTCCTAGCGGCACCCGTGCCGTGTTGATCCTGCGAAGCAAATGAATACCGTCCTGTTGACACTATCAGACTGCGACCGACGTACCGGAGCCATTAGGCGTGTGTCGATGGAGGACGTGGGCGCCTCGGGTCACCGCCGTCGGCAGAGGCCTCCGACATGTCGACTGGTCGGGAGGCTATGCCTGAAACCACGGCGACTGGGCGGGAGGCTATGCCTGGAATCATGACGACTTCGCCGAGCGTCTGCTGGACGATAGGCGGCGGGAAAACAGGTGAGAACTGCAGTGAAAGGGTCAATGGTCACCAGTCATATGACCGAGTCGAACCCCCGTTATTTTTTATCAAAATAACTCTCTCTCTCTCTCTCTCTCTCTCTCTCTCTCTCTCTCTCTCTCTCTCTCTCTCTCTCTCTCTCTCTCTCTCTCTCTCTCTCTCTCTCTCTCTCTCTCTCTCTCTCTCTCTCTCCCTCTCTCTCTCTTTCTCTCTCTCTCTCTTTCTCTCTCTCTGTAAACTTCTTTAAACTTCTCTTGATCTGTGTGTCCGGTGTTTGGTTCAAAAGTATCCATTTGTAAACGAATTGTAGTCAGGTCAAAAGTTCATTGAAGAGCTTACGTTCTAAACGTATGTCAGGCCACGGTCATGCCAAAAGGTCACAGTTTCAAGTTGTGCGTAAAATGTCAATAAATTGTCTACCATATGCAGTTTGTGATCAGGAGCGCGCGATTTATTTTTGCTATTTTTTTTCGTGCTATGCATATTGCGTGTGACGTCTTCCATTCCACACGGGACACATCGATCTTCTTCTCATCGGTCGAGGGAAAGTTTGAGGGCTTGAGATCTCTTGCCGTTTCGTTCCTAATTGAGCTAAAGCTTCACAGAAAAAGAGCCACAATGTTAGCACCAAAGTGTTTTCCATGTTTAATAAAGCACGTCCACGGTCCATGCCTATGCAGTCTTTGTTTGGAAAAAGGTCAACTTAGGGTGATGAGCTCAGGTCAAGGCCAGGTCACAGCCGCTCAAGTCAGCAGACTGGTCAAATGAGGTAATGTTGCGCATCATTCGATCCGGCAGGATAGGTGTTTTTCGACGAATCAGTAGCTCAATTTAATCGAGTTATTTACGAAAAATATGACCTTAATTGACCTTAGTGACGTTACATATGATGTCACGCAAGGTCCCCGATGCAAGATTAATCATAGAATCTCGCGAGAAGTGTATTAAAAGCACTATTCAGGATGCTTGACATGGTCTTATACGATTTCCAGCGCCAAAATAACAATTTTCATACTTTCCCAATGGTGAGGTCACGTAACTGGCCTGACCTCAGGTCAGACGACCTGACCCTATGAATCTGAAAGGTTCAAGGTGTGAGGGTTCAGGAGCTAACTTCTTTTGCAAAGTTGCAATCGCGTCTAGGTACGAGCAATCGTGGAACAACCGTCTGCTGTCAGAGTGGACACCAACCCCCTAGGCATAAGAAGGTTAGCTCCGAGCACGATTTAAACGAGTTCTAAAGTGGAGATCTGATGAATGTTGAATCACAATAACATCGCTGTCAGTGATGACGTCTTGGGTCAGGTCAAACGACGCTGCTCAGCGCTGTTGTTTCTGCAGATGGCGGCGCGGCGGCACTCGGTGGCGCGGCGGCGCCGGGGCTGTGGCGCCGGCTGCGGTCTCTGGCGCAGCTGTGCTGGTGGCTGGGTCTGTGGCCGCTGGCTGAGGCCGAGCACGGCCTGCCGCGCCCCATCAGTAGCCGCTGGCGCCGCCTGCTGCACGCCGCCCTGGTGGCCGCCCACCTGCTGCTCATGTTCGTCGTCGGCATGGTGGTGACGGCGACCCTCTCCGCCGCCACCGGCGTCTCGGCCTGGTTCAGGAACCTGACGGGCGGCACCAGCACCAGCGCCGTGGTGGTCCCCGGCCTGCTGATGAGTGGGGCCGCCTGCTGGCTGCTGCTGGTGCTGACCGTGTACCGCCGGCGCGGCCGGCTCGGCCGGCTGCTGGTGCGCTGGGCCCGGCTGGAGGAGCGCGCGGGGGCCGGCCCCGGCCGCGCCGGACTGCTGGACTGGCTGGTACCGGTGGCCGTCTTCACTGCCACCGTCACCGCGCAGCTACTGGAATGGAAATCAACCAGCCGATTGATGGGACTGGAACACGAAAATCGCCTGTTCGCCCTCCTCACTGACCTGTGGTAGGTGTCGCTGTCATATGTCACATGTCCATGCAGGTGCCAATGTCATGTGTCACGCATCGCTACAATGTGTCGCTCAGTCGCTGTCATGTGTTACTGCCACTTGTTAGTTTCAGGTGTCACTGTCAGACGTTACTGTCAAATAACACCTTGCCTTTGGAAAACGATAGGGAACTAAATCGATACCGATAATTGTAAGGAATCTCTGTTTCTGTATCCAACCCTCTATTGTATATGCTTTTGATATCAATGCTCGAAAATTTTGATTTTTTAGGTAATCAGCCATGCTACTTAACCTTAAAAAGAATGTGACATAGGTATTTTCTGTTCATCCATAAGAAAACAATTACAAACCTCTAACTATATCGTTGAAATGTGTACGAATTAACCCACCAATTAAAAAAAGTACGGGGCTCAAAGTTGTCACGTATATGTACATACTTCATCCATCGTTATATCACGTACTGCGCCGGTCACATCACTGCCTCCGTCATAATTTACTGTCAGTCTCTCATGAGTCATGACCACTGTCCGTCACCACTGCCTGCCAGTCTGTCACCACTGTCTGTCACCACTGCCTGTCACCAATGTCTGTCACCACTGTCCGTCACCACTGCCTGTCACCAATGTCTGTCACCACTGTCCGTCACCACTGCCTATCAGTCTGTCACCACTGCCTGTCACCACTGCCTGTCACCAATGTCTGTCACCACTGACTGTTGTTCTGTCACGGGGCGATGTTCGGCAGGCGCCTCCACCTCTCCTCGCTCTGGCAGTGGAGCGTGCTTCTGCCGCTGGTATTTCTCCAACAGGGGGCGCGCGAGCTCCGTCGCCTT